AAACAGTGGGTTAGAAGGGACCACATGGCCACTTTAATTATGCCCAGCATGTGAGAGGATTGAGGCTGGGACAGCTCGGGAGAGCTAGTCAGACCAGATCTAGAGCAGGATCGATCCACTGCACAAATATTAATGAAGCACGTTGCCTGTGTCAGGCGCTCTGCCACCCACGGAGAGGCACGCAGAGGTGCCCGAGGGGGGCTGGCAGCGTGGGGTCGGCGACTGGATGGCGAGCCGCACCCTGGGAGCCAGGCCCTGTCCTGCGAGGCCAGAGGGCGCATTCCACGTGGGGAGGGTAGCGAAAGCTTCAGGAGGAGGGGGCATCTGGAAGGGTCTTCACAGGCAATGGCAGGCAAAGCAGGGGAGGAAGAAGGGACAGACGGGGTGGCCGGAGGAAGACAGCTGGACTGCAGGGTGGACGCCTGGGGGACAGGCTGGCGGGGGAGGCAGCTCAGGGCTGGACCCCGACTCAGTGGAGAGCAGAGGGCACCGTGAGTAGAGATGAGGCCGTCAGAGCTGGGCTGGAGGGAGAGCAGACGGGAGGTCATGTGGATATGCGAGATTCCGTTTTCTGGAGTGACCTTTAAGCTGTGATGTTCACCAGGTCATTGGACATTTCCTCGCCCAACGCATGCCCTCCACGCCCTGACAGAGGCTGGTAGCTCTGTAGGGACCTCGCCTCCGGTCATTCAGTGTTGGGGCTTATAGTGCCAAAGGGAAGGACAGAGGGACGTCACAGGTGATAGCTTCTCCTGAGCATTAGCAGGTGGCAGTAACTGCATTCAAACAGCCAGACCCTTTGCTAACGGGGGTCTTTTCCCTCATGCGCCTCAAGCCAGAGGACCACAGTTTGCCCCCATTTCCAGCCCTTTTATTTTCAAATAAGAATGACTTTTTAATTAGCCACATGACTAAGCTCACAGGACAAGCTCACAGAAAGGAAGGCGTGTGCCCGCATCGATGGGTGTCCACTGCAGGCCGGGCCCGCCACCCAGCGCTCTCGTGCACGGGGGCGTCTGCTGGAGGTCTGGGAGCACATGTGCCTGCTCCTTTACAGAGTCCACGTCTTACTAGAAGCTCGGCTTCCTTGTGTGTAACATGAGAGGCCGGACTATATCGTTTCTAAGGTCCTTTGTCTCGAGCATTCTGTACTTCTGTCTGGTCATCCTCATGTTAGAGGACAGGGACCAAGTTTTTTTGTTTTTTTTTTAAAGATGACCAGTAAGGGGATCTTAACCCTTGACTTGGTGTTGTCAGCACCACGCTCTCCCAAGTGAGCTAACCGGCCATCCCTATATAGGGATCCGAACCCGTGGCCTTGGTGTTATCAGCACCATGCTCACCCAAGTGAGCCACGGGCCGGCCCTAGGGACCAAGTTTAAAAGGAGGTGACTTAGGGGCTTCTCCATAGAGACCAGGGAAAGCATGAGAGTGGTCAGTCTACATGAATGAAAAATATAGGTGGGTCCCACCTGGGTGGTTTGGATGAATTCACAGATGACAGATCCAGACTGAACAATTGAAAAGGAGTGAGGGAAGGCTCGGGTCCTGTTACTCAGCGTGACAGGAAGGTGTGCTGGCCCGGGCAGGCCATTGGTTTGACCCAGTGAGGAAACACGTGGGATTTACTCTGTCCACCTAAACTCAGAGACTCTGCAAGAACCTAACTCTAGCCTTAAAGGACCAGGAAGATATAAACTGCAGCTTTGGGATTCAGGTTAAAATCCACTCAACCATTAAAAAAAAATTTTCATCTCCTGCCTGGATATTTCCTTTCTTTCCAAGAATTTGTGTAATCCCCGCCCACAAGGACAGACCGATCCATCTCCCTTCGGACCAGAAAAGGACAATTTTCAGCGTCCTCTGCTGACATCCCATACAGTCCCTGTGGAAAAAGGAGCCCATGTCTTAAAAAGCCGATGCAAAACATAATATAAATACAATATAAACAATATGATAGACCCCGCACGCTGCCAGTAGAGAAATCAATTGCTCCTTCACTCCAAAACCTTTGCTGCCTTTCCACTAGAATCACCAGGTCGGTTTCCACGACGCTGAGCCCTGCAGGAGGAGAGGAGACTTGTGGTCATTTCACACACAGGGGACCTGGGGTGGAGAGTGGGACAAGGGATGCTGCCCGTCGGGGCGCTTCCATGCCTTGCACCCGAGCACGCTGCTGGCCCCAGGCAGTGTGCACTCGGTGTCGCTTCCGATGGGCAAAGACAGTGGCAGGGGATTGGGTGGCGAGGCTGTGTCCCTGGAGGCTGTGTCCCTGAGCTGAGACTGGTCCCCTCTCAGCCAGGCATGTGTCTCCTTGAAACCACTCTGTTCCTGGCCCAGCAGGAAGCAGGTCGTCAGGCCCTGGAAGGGCTGTGCTGCGTCAAGGCCAGGTGGAGCCATGCGGGGCCCTGGTGCCGGGCGGAGGGTGCACGGCCCTCACTGGCCCGGCCTGTAGGCAGGAGTGAGCTCACTGGCTCCTCCAGGAAGGGGCTGGCACGGGTGACAGGTCTGCTGGGATCTGTCCCACTCTTAGCATGCGCCTCTAGTCAAGCAACCGTTTTGCTTTGTATTCAGTAGGGAGTGTTTTTTCAGCCCCTCCTTGGTGCAGAACTGCCGGCTGGAAATGCAGAGACAAAAGACAAAGTGTCTTCCTTGAGAACTGTGTAGGTTAGTGGGAGGTGGCCCCTCCTTGGGCAGGTGCTATGGACTTAACGTGTCCCCCCAAATTCATACATTGAAGCCCAAGTTCTCAACGTGGTGCTGTTAGAAGGTGGGGCCTTCGGAGGCTGTCAGGTGTAGACGAGGTCATAAGGGTCAAGCCCTGTGATGGGATTGGTGCCCCTCTAAGAAGAGGAGACTCCAGAGCTCTCTCCCTCGCGCACGCCCCGAGGAGAGCCACGTGAGACCCAACCAGGAAGATCCCGTCCCTGCTGCACCCTGACCTTGGACTTCCAGCCTCCAGAACCGTGAGAAATAAGCGCCTGCTCTTCGAGCCACCCAACCTGTGGTTTTCTGAGCTGACCAAGATGATAGGGTACAGACACAGCCTCGGTGGCCCATGCTGTGGATGGGTACCTTGGGGAGGGTGTTGCTATCCCTTTTTAAACACTGATAAACCTCAGTTTGAAAGCCCCGTCGGTCAAGGGTACAGGAGAGGCCAGCACCTCAGCCTCCATGCAAGTGCGATTATCTAGGGATGGTCTGAGTGGTCCCGGGCCTGGACCCCTCTGAGGGTGGGCGTAAAGACCTGCCTTGTCCAGCACGGCAGCCACACGTGCTCATTGAAACTTAAACTAAATGAACTTCAGACTCCAGCTCCTTGGTCACATCAGCCGCATGTGGTTGGGGCCACCACATTGGACAGCACCGACGTTGAGCACTTCTGTCGTGGCCCTAAGTCCTAGTGGATGTCTCACAGCCTGGACGCTTGGATGCAGGGTGGTCCACCTGGGGGACTCTGGAGGGGATGAGCCTCCAGCAGCAGAGGTGGGGACAGGAGTGGTGCAGCCAGGGGACTGAGGAGAAGCTTCTCGGGGGAGCAGCACCTCGGCGGAGCCTGGGTCGGAGGCTCCCAGCTCTCTCCGAGCAGGACGGAGTCCACACCTCCAGCCCCCCTTGAAAGCTGGTGCCCCTCAGTCTGAGGCCCCTTCCTCTCCTTCCACGTACCTCGCTGTGTCTTCTCGTCCACTCCATGGCTCCATTTGCCGTCTTCTCTGGGGGGTTTCAGCTGACGCTGCATCTGTGCAGTCCTGCGGGTCTCACCCTTCAGCAGGACCCCCTGGCGGGCTGGTTCAGCAGACGCCTGGCTCCACTCAGCTTCTTACCAGCAGATAGGGCTGGGGCCAGAGAATGCATTTCTGTAAGTCTGCAGGTGACGCGGAGGCTGCTGGCCCGGGGTCCTTGCTCTGAGAGCCATCGGCATGGTCTCAAGAATCCATTCATCGGCTTTCTCATCCAACCCACATTTACCTAGTGCTCCATGCGCCAGGTGCCCCTGCGGTGCCGGGCCCTGGTGGTGAGCCAGCTGGGCAAAGTCCCTGTCCTGGGCAGCTTGCATAGTAGGGGAGGAGACAGACAGTAAACAGACCTAGGTCAGTGATGATGAAAGTTGGGGAGAAGACTCAGGTGGGGTGAAGGAGAGGGCCGTTTTATAGGGTCGTGAGGGAAGGCCTCACTGACAGGGTGACATCTGAGCAGAGACCTAAAGAGAATGGATGGGGGGGGTGGCTTTCTGACCCTGTTTACTTCCATCCTCAGTGTTTTAATTGAAAAGTGAGAGTCATGTTAAAAATCGAGGTCATCCGTCTACTCAATAGCTAGGTTTTGAAGACAAATTCGGTTGCGTGTGCATGCAGTTCACTGAAAAGCATGACGGTCAAGGCCACAGATCTGGGCTCCGCTGGCAGTTCCACCCTCGTGCCCCCACAACTGCTTCACGTGCTTCGGAAGCCCCATCTAGGGCCCAGCTGGCTGCACCCCACTCTGCAGGTGGGGAGTGCGAGGGCTGAGGGGACAGACACCGGGAGCCTCTGTGTCCCTGGTAGAGGGTGCCCAAGGATGCCCAGTCCCTATGGCCTGTCCACTTCCAGGGCCTGCAGGTCTCTTCCTGTTCAGCCCCCCAGGCTGGCCACACCACTGCTGGCCCAAAGGCGACTGTGGGGGGGGTGTGAATGGAGCTCGGCCTGGGGGCTGATGTCCTCACAGAAGTGTCCACCGATGAGGGACGGAACTGCCGCGGAAGAGGGGCCGGGTTGGGCTGAGGACTCTGTTTATCTTTCTGTCCCGGTGGGAGAGTGTAGACCAGCAACACTCATCAGCGGCTGCTGGGAAAGTCAGCACACACTGTAGGGACCGGGCAACCGTCCTGGTCTCTGTGCATTAACACAGCTCATGAAGGATCACGTCTGTCCCCTCTTATAAACACAAGCATTCACGGGGAAGTGCAAATTGCGTGCCTTTAGCGCCTGATTTCTCTTTTCAGTATGTGACATCTTTTCCAGGCACAACTATCTCAGGCCTTGAATGGAGTTTCAGATAAGGCCAAAGAAGCGAAGGAGTTTCTGGTGCAGCTCAACGACATCCGGCAGCAGATCCAGGTGAGCGCCGCACCGCTGCGGGGACGGGCGACGCTACTCCGGGGAGAAAGTTTGTGGAATATGCAAAGAATCACGACGAGGGGAAAGGCTGGTGACAAGCAGTTTTTCAGTGGTGCGCGTCAGGAGGTTGATGTGTCCTGCTGTGCAGCCTGGTGCTGAAGGTGACACATGCTCAGTCTGTTGAGACGTGTGACACCTAATGTGGGAAAGGAATTTTACATGACACCAGTTAGAGAGAACCATACAACAGAGAGCTAGAAAAACGCGATCCCACACACCACCTGGCCATGCCGTCCCATGCGGTATCTGTATATGTGCTTTTGTACCCAAATATGCCCACGTAATCAAAATATAAATGCATCATTTACCAAATAAATGTATTTACTGATCACCTGCGCTCTGTCACAGGTGGAGCCTGACATGATACAAAGTTCAATGAGGACCAGTCTCTGGCCTCTGGGAGCTCTGTCTGCAGGGGCGAGTGCACACACGTGTGCCCCCAGATGAGTGTGCACACGTGGAAGAACTGTTCGTACAGATGAGGGGCCCATGAAACACTCACAAATCTGGATGGAGAAAAGAGACTGAGGGCCCCTGAATTCTTAATCAGCCCATAAAAACCATCCCTCCTAACAAGTTAAAGTCCAGACTTCAGCCACGGAGTGTTTAAAGTCATGATGTTTCCCATGTTTCATACACAAGAGACGTTTTAGTCTGCTAGGGCCGAATAACAAAACACCACAGGCTGGGGGGCTCGAACGACGGACATTTACTCTCTCTCAGCCCTGGACGCTGGAAGCCCGAGATCCAGGCGTGGCAGGGCTGGTTCCTCCTGAGGCCTCTCTCCTGGTCTTGCAGACGGTGTCTTTTCCCTGTGTCCTCACGTGGTCGTCCCTCTATGTGTCTGTGTCCTCATCTTCTCTTCCTATAAGGACACCAGGCAGATTGGTTTAGGGCCCACTCTCATGAACTCACTTTATCTCTTTAAAGGACCCTCTCTCCAAATACAGTCACACTCCAAGGCACTGGGGGTTGGGGCTTCAGGAGATAAATTTGGAGGGAACCCAGTTGAGCCCACAGCGGGAGGTCTGCATCCACACTGATCTAAAGACCCAGAAGGATTCTTTTTTAAAAACTGAGACAGGGCAGACCCTTCAGCACAA